CTTTTTTACAAAAAATTAACTTTTTCAACTATACTTTTGAAAGTCTTCCGAAAATCGATTATTAAGATATTTCAATATCTTAAATTAAAGCTTATGTAATTAAATTTAATATAAAAAAAGGAAATTTCGAATTTTATTTTGTCTTCATGGTGAAAATGGCTACCGTATGCTATTTTTGTGTTAAAGTTCTCGATTTTATATTTTATATTTTTAACTTTATAATGCTATAAGTTTTGGAATAATGTATGGATCAATATAATTTTTTTGTATAAATACTTTTTATGTACACCTTTCATCCGATTTTATTTTTAAATCGGATAATTTCCCTTCATACAGGAGGCGTTAAAACTTGAAACACGCTAATAAAAACTAGACGTTTTTCAAATATTTTTAAAAATATTTTGGAAATACTGATACTTGCGAGTGAACTTTTTATCGGCCTGCAACAACAACGTGGTTTGCCACTTGCATAACGACTAGCTATAGTAGCAAGGGTCATCACTACCTATGCAAGGTGTCACACCTATCAGATATGATTACCGGACCATAGGTGGATTTTAATTTTAAGTTAATTAAAAGTGTAATTTAAGTCAATATGTCGTTATATGTATAAATGATTATAACACCTCGTTGCTTATTAACCAACTATGATAATTAAAGTTGATAAGTAAAACATACCGTAGCCCGTGTCTAGATTAAGGAACAGGGATAAAATACACTCGAATACTTCAATTACTCGTGCAATAAAATAAATATTACAGTTAAAATTAATGAGAAAATTTAATTTAATTGTTAAAAAAGAAAATTAAGATAAACATGGAAAAAATACGAATGTATCATAAATCATGTCTACAATTAAAGGCAATAAAAATAAAATAAAATATTTAAACAAATAATATTACAAACATCACGGACGGTATTGGAACACATTCGTTAATCTTAATCGAAAATTAATGAAAAAAAAAACAGGAATAGTCTGGCCACTCGTTCCTTAACGTTGGATAGAAGAAAAGGGAAACACGTGCTCTCCACACATAAACAAAAATAAGTTAATTTAAAATAAAAAAAAATTAAATTAAATAATTAATAAAATATAGATCATCACATAAATATAATTATAAAACATTACCCTGCCTCCGAAGAGACCCATCCGATGGTCAGGATGCTTCGCCGAAAAGATCTCTACTCCATCATTGAAAAAAGTGACAATAAGACATTAAACATGTACACTCTAGCACAGTCAAAGACAGAAAAGGGATGAAGAGCCAACACCAATCTAACGACAATTTCAAATTGATAACGGCCAGTCTTTTTGGGAGGGATCAATACTCATAAACAATTCAATTTTAATTATATTTATTCTCTTTTGTCGCCTTATCCAGCGCGTAATAAGTTGTTGACACTGCTGTCAGAAAAAGGTTCTTTCGCGCAATTAAATAAATAAGTCAACATAACAAAAAATTATAAACGGTCCACCTTTGAATTTGTGACTTACAAACTTAAATACATATCTTAAATTAAAGCTTATGTAAAATACTTAAATATGAAATAAAGAAATTTCGATATTTACGTTGTCTTCATGGTAAAAATTGCTATCGTATTCAAAAATATGCTATTTTTGTTTTAAAATTCTTGGTTTTGTATTTTATTTTATTTTAAAATACCTTACAAAAGGAGTACATTGATTTTCATAAATATTGTATAAATCTAATTGATATAGCATAGAAAGTTAAACTTATTTAAATTTTTTTGCTTCTTTTAAGTCAAGGAAAATAACTTTGAAATTTGAATTAGCTTAAATTGCCCTTTTTATCCACCGAAGAAATGTGACGTACGGTTGCCGAGTCGGTAACACTTTTTAATAAGAACTACTAATCAGGATATAATTAAGGAAATAGGAGTTGATGATGCTTTTGTAATTATGCGCCAATTTCTTAGAATTAAACACTGTACAGATTTGCATCGAAGCGTTTCTTATAATAGTGATTTTAATCACTATCAGATATCATCTATACTTGTCTCAGGTATCCTACGTCCATACTATGCCGGGACCCTAATGTCATACGATTTTTTTCTTAGTCACTTTTTGATTTTTAATCGATTTAGACTGGCATTGTAATACTATATAGGGTCGTACATGACAGCGTCATTGCCGACGGCACAATCACGACGTGAAAAGGCAGTCTTAGAGCTCGCCTTATCATAGCATAGAGTAAAAGCATAATAAAAGCAAAGGGCCCACCATAGGGCTATCCTTAGGTCAGTTTTAAAGTCTGACGTCAACTAGGGGGATAACGTCATGAGCTGCACTTGGATGCACCTGAATGCAGTCCCCAATAGGTGCCGGGGCCAAAGAGGTTACGGTAGGTCAGGTGAGATGTCACTATGATGAACTGCATCTCACCTGTGCAAACATTGTTCCCCAAGAACAATTAATGACGTAATTAGTCGGTACCTTTGAGGGCTCGTAGCGCATCTAGTTTTCCGAGAGCAATAGCCCATTGTTCTAAGAACAATAGATCGAACAATAGAATTGTCGGCACCTTAGAAGGCCCGTACCCGCCATACATATACTACTCATAACTTTTAGCTCAACTGTCAAGTTTGAAATTGACATCATTAAATAGAAAATTTTATGAGAATTAAAAAAATTGTACCGTTAAGATTAATATGCAGTTAGGAAGTTTAATAATTACTATTTAGAGTATATTTATCAGAATAGCTCAATATTTTTTTGCATTTTTATCGTAATAGATAACTTAAATAGAAATAATAGTAATCATTACGTAGTAACTTTTGGTGTTTAAAAAGATTCTACAATTGAACTATTCAGAACTTAATTAATTTTAATGATTTGCTTTAACTAAATGAACCAATCAAAACAAAGTTTTTAAAAAGATTTATTCAATTGAGCGTATTATAAAGTTTGATTATAATTGTAAAAATCCATTGTTAATTCAGGAGAAATTAACTATCATTTTTTTTAGAAATGATTTATATAGCAACATGTTACCAAATAATTTAGAATATTATAGTCTAGTAGTAGCACTCACAAATAGAGTAAAAAAATGATTAAATTACAAAGTAAAATGATTTAATTTTGTATTTGAAACCTATCATATCAAATTATCATGTCAAACTTGATTCGTCAATAAATACTTTGAAAACATCAGAAATGAATGATTTTAATTGTCTGTATGGAGAACATGGGATAAGTAACTGTTTCATTGATAAATTAGAAATTTTTTTCAATTTTTGAGGGTAATATCTTCAACTAGATACGAATTGTAATAATTTGACGTATCGTTGAAAAAAGTAGGGCAAGTTAGAGCAGAGAAAATAAATGATAGTCAAAAAATTCAATGCCATACGCGAGTTGGAACCTTGTACCCCAAGCGCGAAAAACTCAAGTATTACCGACTCGGCAACCGTACGTCGCTACGGTCGGCTAAAAAAATTGGCTATTTAAGCTAGTTCAAATTTCAAAGTTATTTTTCTCGACTTAAAAAAAAAAGCAAAAAAATTTAAATAAGTTTAACTTTCTATGCTATATCAATTTTTTATTTATATAATATTTATGAAAACCTGTACTCCTCTAGTCAGGTATTTTAAACTAAAATAAAATACAAAACCCAGAATTTTACATACAAAAATAGCATATTTTTGAATACGGTAGTCATTTTTACCATAAAGACAAATCCAGAGATAATTTTTTTTTTTTCAAATTAAAGTATATTACATAAGCTTTAATTTAAGATATGTATAAAAGTGTCAGTATTTCCGGAATACTTTCAAAAATTAAATTTGTCCTAGTTTCAATACTCATGATTAAAGTTTTGACCCCCATTGTATAAAGGGGTATGATCCGATTTACAAAAAAAAAACGTGTCAATTGAAAGGGGTATATAAAAATTTATTATAAAAAAATAATAATATTGATCCATACATTTTTCCAAAAGTTATAGCAATATAAATTTAATAATAGAAAATCGAGAATTTTTTTATGGAAATCGTACGTTTTTCTTTAACTATGATGTCCATTTTCACCACGAAGACAAGTCCAGAGGTCAAATTTTATTTTTTCATAACAAAGTACATTACATTAGCTTTAATTTAAGATATAAAAGTGTCAGACTTTCCGGAACACTTTCAAAATTTAAGTTGAAAAAGTTCTACTTTCTACATGCATATTTTTTAGATTTGATCCCCCCTCGTCTATAGGGAAATGGTTCGATTTAAAAAAACAGTATGTTGAATGAAAGATATGTATAAATACTACTTTTCATGAAAAATTGTATTGATCCATACATTTTTCAAAAAGTTATAGCATAATAAAGTTAAAAATGTAAAATACAAAATTGAAAATTTTCACACAAAATTAGCATTTGGTAGCCATTTTTACCATGAAGATAAAATAAAGCCCGAAATTTTTTTTTTTCACGTTAAATTATATTACTTTAGCTTTTATTTAAGATATATATAAAAGTGTCAGACTTTCCGGAATATTTTCAAAAGTCAAGTTGAAAAAATTAATTTTTTGTAAAAAAGATGTCATTTTAAATCCCCCCCTGTGGGCAGGTAAAGGGTTAGATATAAAAAAATATATACCAAATGAAAGGTAATGATATCATGCATCTGTATAAAAAAATTTTATATTGATTTGGTTATGTTTAAAAAAGATATGGCACTTTTAATTAAAAAAAATTAAAAAAATTTCGAAAATTAGCGATTTTTAAATTTGTATTTTTTTTGGAGGTTTTCCCCATTTACGGGGAACGAGAAAAATTTTGAGGGTAATGTCTTTGACTAGATACGATTTGTGATCTTTTGACGTATCATTGAAAGAAATCGGTTCGGTGAGAGCTGAGAAAAAGTGGTAACAGACACAAAAAAAAAATACCAAATGT